TTTTAATGGTGCATGGAAATACTTGAGCATAGACAGCATTGTTTGAAACAGTAAACACTGTGTAAAGACATGGGTAGATCCTGCTAGTAGGAGACAAAGTGGCTAATGTTTGAGTAATGGGTTTTTTTTCGCAGTGACATATATCCTTTAAAAATATAGTTTTAAACACTTAAAATCAGTGATTTTTTTACTGTTTCTTTTTATTGCGAAGTGTTAAAAAATTCAAAATAGACTAGAAGTTTCAAACTGGCTGTTAAGTGTTATTGCCTGCAAAAACAGGTTCTCTTAAACAGAGTAAAGATTGACTTTAGATGTAAAACAACAGAATGGGAGTGAGAGAACTGGTCTACAAACTCCCTGTGAAACTTTTGACATAGTTAATCATTTCTTGATTGTTCTTGGCTCCTAGAGGTGTTCTTGTGCTATCCATAAATATCTGAATAATGGCTATAGGGCCATCAAGAAAAAATAAACACATAGGAAACCTATGGACAAAGGAGAGAAGAGACTTCAGCTCTGACATTACAAAATACACAGTTTTGTGACTTTAAAAGCAAAATTTTTTGAACAAATGCTATGTGCAGGGAAAAAAGTTCAGAAATCAGCAGAGGTGAAGTGAAACAGTCAGTAAGTAGGTCCACCTTAACTCTCAACTTCAGTGGCTAACAGAAGTATTATATAACCTTATTTTCTATGTAAAGAAATAAAGATTGCATGGAGAAGCTGAGTTTGTTTTCCTAGCATTTAGACCTTTCACTCGTGTGAAAAATGAAGATCTGAGAGGAATTAAAAGACTTCATATCAGCAGGAGTGAAAGCAAGCTGATTAAACATATTTACGTTCTTGGTAATCTTTAAAAAAAATTATGGGAATAATAGCTGCCTATTTTCTTAGTGCCAATGAAGACTACAAAGGATAAGACAACAAGGAATAAGATTATTTCAAAGTCTCTTTGGATTGGCAGGTTTAGTTCATTGGACTGCCTCATATTATATCATATACTTCATTTTTATTTTTTGAAATACAAACTACTTATTTAACCCTGGATTTTGAGGTGCTAGGGGGCAGGTTTTAAAAAGCAGCTTAAGAGAAACTTATGAGTCAGATTCATAAGAGGCCAAAGGGAGATTTTAGCTGCAAAATTTCACATTTAACTCAAATCACCCTTCTCAGAGGTTTATAACTCAGTTGTAGTCCATGTAGATTTAGTTAGTACCTTATTAGACAGAATTAGACAGGGTTTTACAGCAACAGGATTTTAGTACCCTCAGTAAATATATATACTTTATTTCTATCTACAGGAAAAGAGAGTGACCATATTTTATATAACAGTTAATGATCAAATCTTTCCTCTGAGAAGAGGAGATCTGAGTTCTGAGCCTTATTTATTTGTAATAGGGTCAAATATCTGGTGGGAGAACATTTTTTTCCTTTTTCTTAGTGATTCAACAACTTTGTTGAAATCAAACTGAAATCAAAATTCTTCATTCCTCCTACGAGGTTACTATTGTAATTAACTTCTAGGTTGGTTCCATGTTCCACTTTATACTCTGTTTTCTTACATTTCATAGGGTTTTGCATTCTTTTTTGCACAATGACCCAGAGATTAGGAAGGATGCAGAGTTTCCTCCCACATCTCTCTAGTCTAGGTTTTGCACGGGTAATTCTATAGAAATGTGAGGAAACTCTATAGAAATGTGAGAGATACAAGTTTGAACTCTCTTATTACAAAGTAGGAAAGGTATAGCAGCTAGGCTAATATATGAAAGAGGGCAGCTATCAACAGCTTGTGTGTTTTGTTTTGTGTTTTGTTGTTGTTGTTAGTTAAACATTTAGCGAATTATTCTTGAGTACCTAAAAAGAAGTGGGAGAGAGTTTAGAGTGGACTGAAGTTCCTTTTGAGGAACCTCACTGCTCACTTGAGATGCTTTCCAAAGCATGTAGGCTCTGAAAATACTAAATATCCCTGAACATTAACATGGTAATGAGATGTTCTGTCTACTTTGACTCAGAGGTTCAATTGTAAAGTGTATAGAAATGCCTGTGGTAGTTTTGGTTTAGCTTTCTCACTCAAGTCCTACCGAGAACAAAGTGATGTCAACACGGACTTTAGTAAAAGCTGAATAAATATGATTGTGATTCTGGAAAGAAATTTTTGAGACACTTGTTGATTTAGTAGAAGTAGGAAGACCAAATCCCAGAATACTGGAAAAAGACTATTTTCTAGTAAGGGAAAAGTTAAAAGGGGATGAGGATAGACTTCAGAACAGAAGTATTTAAATGTGGTGAATGTTTGGAGAAAGGGAAAGAAAAGGGATGAGTTGGAAAGAACCATACTGGAATTATCTGTTGGGAGGATGAAAGAAATTGTGAGACAGAATGATAATGTAGTCACCAGTTGGCAGGTGGAGGTTGGATGTGTCCTCCTAAATAGTATAACCACCAACAGAGCTATTGAACAGCAGTGGGTAAAACAAGAGAAGCATTTGTATAGCCAGTCAGTTATGGGAGGTGATAAATATGCAAAGACATTATAACAATTGGATCCAATATCATGGAGAACCTGTAATTAGGTGAATCACACTTTGTTAAATACACACAAAAAATGCAGGGAATAAATTAAAAAAATTAGACCATTATGGAACAAACTGACTAAGCACAGAGAATTAATTAAGAATGAATTCATTATGCAGAGGATTAATCACAAAGCAAGCTAGTGGGAGAGGGCAACTGAGGAGGTGGAGATGAGGCAATGAGTAGCCAACAAAGAAGCCAAAAGTACCAGGTGTTGTTGAGTGAGTTAAGTGGCCAAGCTTTAATCAAACAGGCTCCAATGGTGCCTCCTGCTGAATCCTCATCTGTGCTGGGAACATTGTGCTGCTTTGTGAAGTGTGAGGAGAAAGAGAGAAGGTGATGGCTGGTTTTGGCCATGTGAAAAGAAGGGGGTGTTGATTTGTATGGAGCTGCAAACTGATACTATAATTAAAGGCTTTACTGGTCTGTTTCATTCTGATTATACCAGAGAAGCAAATGAGAGACTGTGGAAAGGCTTTTCTCCATTTAGCTGATCTCCCTTAACTAATGTTGTTTGAGTCCTGGCTGTGCTTTTAATAATTCTCTCCAAATTTGTACATACACCACAAAATGCTTTCTCAAGACCCTTGCTTACCCACAGGTATTCTTATTTTCTTCTTCTATCAGCTGTTCACATGATTTTAGGTCTGATACAAAGTCCACAAAATTTTGAAGGACTTTTATCTAGACCCTCCTGTGACCTGTTTGCGTTCAACCTCCATTTTCTGCCCAGAGATAAGGGAGTTTCTTTTTTGGCTCAGATGATAAGGACTTCTTATGTACAAGAATTCATAAGCTTTTCCTTAAATGTGGTGCCTGTATAAATTCTCTGGCTTGTATAGCCACTGAGTATCTTACTCATTAGTACCCACATGGTTGTTTGAAGATGAGACTTGAAGTACTTCCTAGGCAACTATGGATTTAAAATACCCCCAAAAAACATGGAGCCTAACTGTGTTATTATACTTTCCTAAATTAATTAATGGTGCAGTTGCTACTATGCCACCACTTATTTTATATTTTAGAAGGAAAAAAAAACTCACAGAATATGCTAGGTTGGAAGGGATCCACAAGGATCATTGAGTCAAACTCCTGGACCTGCATAGGACAGTAGTTTAGTATCCCAAAATATAGATTAATGAGTTATATTAATCTGTAAAATTAGATTAGGTTTTGGATGGATACTTTATTCTGTCATGGGATAGCATTTGTGATTTAATGCTGCTAAAAAGTCACAAAACATAAAATTCGATTTTTTCCCATTGTTGCTACAGTTAATTCATATCAGACTTTGTCTTCCCTTGATTTCATGCTACAGACATTATATAACAAGATAATTGCATTAAATTGAGTTTGTTTAAAGTTTTATTATATGAGGAAAGTAATTGTGATAATTGTTATGATTACACAAAGCACAAGTAAGGATTATGAAATTTCCTTGTAGTCTTTTTCCAGTCTCTCCTGTCTCCTTAATTCATCTTTACCACAGAAAGCTGGAGATTCCTTAGTCTTTGCTTTGCTGGTTCAGTGAAATGAACACGAACTACCATCCCAAAGAAAAGCACGAGGTGACAGGAAAACTGGATTCTGTGTTTTTCTCCAGTACAGGTGGATGCAAAAGGAAAGGGCTGCACCACTAGTGATGTGAGGGAGGGAAGACAGGCCCAGTAATAGTTATTGCTTCACCTATCCTTAGCCTTTGTTTTGGTAGCTGCTGTAGCAGTCATTTTGGTTCTGATATAAGCAAAATAGGCGTGGCTATTGGAGGTGGTGGAAAAGGGGAGCAGAATAGCTGCTTAGGCAAATGATTACCTTGTTTTACTGCTCTGAGTTCTATGTGCCTATGTTTTAGTCCTGAATGTCTTCTGAATGGTGATGGCAAATATTTTTAATGACTTTTTTTTTAATTGATTTGTTTTTTTTTAAAAAAAGTTTTAAATAGCTGTTCTGTGAAATATTTGAAAATCAGATAAAGTCTGCCTCATCTTTGTGGGTTTTTAACTTCTTTTACTTAAAGATGTATACCAAAAAGATACCTTAAAAATATGCAATTTTCTTTCATAAGCTACTAAATACTTATTTTATAAATACCTTTATTATTAAAGTAAGATTTCTAACAAGTCAATTTACAATAAGAGGAAACAGATTTTCTTAGACTGCTGATTAAAGTGGGCAAACCCATTAAGGGACTGTGTGCTAGAAAGCTTTTTGCCTTTTGTTATGGCTGGATATTGCTCCTATTTTTGTAACAAATCATTGCTATGGGGTCAATGACAATTCACAGATCTTAATTTCTTCCACAAATAAGAAACAAGAGCTCCTGCCAGAGGTTTTGGAAGAACAACAGTTTTATTTAGAATGCTATATAGTATACATATATTTTGTCCAGGAAATCTTTGAATACTCATAAATAGCTTATTACTCACCTTGTTGCTTTGATACTGGTTCTGCTTTATTATTGGCCTCTTCTTTCTGTGGTTCATTTGTTGTTTTATTTTCATCCTTAAAAAAATAAACAGGATTAGAAACTTTAGATGCTTGTTATTGAGAACGATAAGGGTGCTTTGATGACCACAACATTTTTGTAGGAATTTGATTAACCAAGTTGACACACATGGACCTTTGTTCCTGGGTGTTCTGTCTGTGTTTCCAGATTGATTCACAAAAGGATGCTGAAATCAAAAACTGCTATCTTCCCATCCTCTGTGCAAACTCAGTTGCTTAGCCTGGAGTTCTGCTGCTGCCTGTTCGCAGAGCTGACTTGCCTCTCTGAGTTAGTCACACTTCTGCCTAAACCTTCAGTTGGGCAAATACACCTGGTATGTTTTGATGTAACTTACCACAATTGACAGATCCCAATCTTAAAAAATACTGAGATGGTATTAACTTTCACTGCAAAAAAATTACTTCCTTCCACTTTACTGACTTCGATCCATCAATCAAATCCTTTTGTGCCTGTACCTTGGTTTATCTTGGCTTTGACAGGGTGGGAAGTAATAGGTGTTCACAGTACTGTGTAACAGCATAGTATTAATCAAGGCCATGAACATTTGTTATCCCAGATAGAATAAATTTTCCTGGTATCATGCTGATTAATAGAGAAAGATAATATCAACATATGGAAAAATTGTTTGACTTTAGGAGCTTTCAGGTCTTCATGTGCTTTTTTCCCCCCCCTTTCCTAACTCAGTGAGCTTCTCTTTGTGTTTTGGGGCTTAAATTGAGGTTTTTCTTTTTCTATGAAAATAATTGTGTTTTCCTATCTGTTTTATTCAGAGAATCAGGAACTGAAGTTCTAATATGTATCTACAGAATCAATACATAAAAAATTAAAATCCTAATAAATCTTCTCTGTGCATACTAGAGTTACTTGTAAGATGTTTTATTGTATATGTTCTTTTCTTTGTTTCAGGGCTCCCTCCTAATAGCATAAGTAAATTAATCAGTGCATTAATTAGTACATTAATCATTTGCCAGGTACTACGTACATTTCTTCTTTTCTCTTTAGATGGTGTTGCCTTGCAGGCAGAAAATATCTTGATCCTTGATCCACTCATCTGCCTCCATCTTAACAGTATTTTGAATAGTGTAGGCTGATGAGATATGATCTGAATGTTGTGCTGATGTATGAAATTATTCTCACCAGATGAGTAATTCATGTCTCCAGCGAGATCTTTTCCTAGAGCACTTTGCCAAGTGAGATATTAGCCTGCACAGGAGTCACCTGTTGAGAATCAGGATTTTTCTTCTTTCAAGAGAGCATTTTATTGACACAAGAAAACTGTACTGTAAAAAGAAGCATGTCTGTAAAAAGAACAATGTCTGTAGATCTGCAACATATGAAGGTTATTGAACACAGGCATTTTTGCCATTTTATGTGGATGGCAGTGCGGATATGTCTGTTCATCTTATTTATAACAATGATAAATCAAATCTGAGTTGTAATTGGGTTGGATTAAACTACACCTCTTCTTGAGGTTGTACAAACCTATGAAAGTCAGAAAACATCAGTTCTAGGGAGTGATTCAGTCTTACAAATGTTTATGTTTCCATCAGTTTTACTTAACACTGTAAAATTTATGGAACTCTTGTACACGTAAATCAAGGCTCCTGGACGTTATGTCTGAGTCTTAGTATATGCTCAACTGTTAAGAACTTGTTTAAAGAAACTGCTTAATTGAAATTAAATTTATAATGAAGGAGTTTCAATTGTTTCAATAAAAATGAATTCAGATCAGGCTGATACTAAAGAACCGATTTCACTCTCCTAATTGTTTGGTGGAACCCTAAATTGTTGCCATTTTACCTTGTAAAATTTTTATTATGTCAGGCTGGAAAAAATCAGAACACTCTCTAGGACATTATTGAGAAAAGATAAAAATTCAAAGGCAACAAGAGAAAGAGTGTCTATCCTTTTGTTTAAGTTTAAAATATTCAATTAAATAAATTGAAAAGAATGAATTAACTTCTGTAGTAGAAACATTAAATAAAAATATAGAGCATAGACTAATATGACCCTGTATTTTTCAAAGAGGAGTTGAATTAATAAAACCAAGCTGAAAAAAAATACTTCTTCAAAAAGCTAGTAAATTACTTTGCCTTTCCAAAAGTTATCAGGAAGTAGGCTGATATATACTTTTCTGTCATAGCAATATTCAGAAAGGACACACTGACATTTCCTGCCAGAAGGAAATAGGATGCAGAGGAGTACATCAGCATATGAAAAGCAACAATATCAGTATTTCTAATTCTCCATTTGCAATGTTGATCAAGACCTCTCATAAACTTGTGCTATTTCAAGTTAACCTTATTAGTAAAGCAACTTGCAAATAGAGAAAATCTGTATTTTCTTCATAAAGAAGAGATGGGAGGGAGAAGAATAAAGGCAGTATATTTGAAATTCTTTTGGCATTTATTTACATAAATATTTTCTAAACAAAAGGCAGAATTAATGGGTCTATAATAGAAAACAAAAACTATACCTGGCCTGCTGATGCCTTAGATGGTGGAGGGGCATCTTCATTCTTGCCATCTGTTACTGCAGGTGCTAATTTTGGTCTAGAAAAAACTGATCTTAGTTTTCTAAACATCTTGCCTCTTCAAGGTTTCTCCCCTGTAGCCTTTAACAACTCTTTTAACATGAACAGGTTTATAGCACACATTTTTTTTGCCATCAGTAATCAAGCCAATTAGTCACTTAATCAGATTTAGGTCTGATTAGTGCCTCAAAGAAATTCCTTGCACGGTCTGTTTCAGTGACATTTTGTCATCATTAATACTTTCTTTTTTATGTTGTAGACTAAGTTATTTCTAGTCTTGACAGTTACACTGTATACGGCTTAACTTTTCATGAAAAAATTCAGAGGAGAACCACTTTCTGTTTAGAGTAAACCAGTGTCTAATCTTTTATGTATTGGATATTAAGCATTTATTTTATATTTAGAAATGAGATTTTAAGTCCTTAGGATACCTGCAGTTTAACCAGGAAATTAAAATGGTTAATTCATAAATAATCAATAGTACAATACATGAAATCTCAAAAGGTTTAATTTCTTTGCAGTCCTGAACTTATTTTCAGTATTTTTTTTTTTTGAGTGAATGACAATAAGAAGTCCTCTGTTGGGGTTTCTTTTAGCAACTTTATACCTTGTTTTATTTCATTCTTCCTATTAAAACATGGAAAAAAAATTGCCTTGGATTTTCTAGTGTACTTGCAGGCCATACAACTTTATTCAGAGTCTTAGCTACAGTTTTGATGGCAATAAGTGTTAGGTGAATATCCTATGAATTAGTAGAACAAATTTTTATAGAGTTTATAACTGACACATGATTTTGAGATTCTACAGGCTTTGGGTCATCTTATGTAAGTGTCTATAAAATCAAGCATGGTTTAGTTTATAGGTAACATTCAATTTCAAGCACCTCAAGTGCCATGTTGATTAAGTTCCTGTTAACAATGATCTTTACAACTTAATTGTCTCCTTTTGTCCTTAATTTCACTTTATTTATTACAAATCTGTGCCTTCACTTTGAGCTCTGAATTTGAGCTAACAGCTTACAGTCAATTTATGTTGATTATCAAAGCATCAAGAAATACCGAAACCTATTCCTTTGAGTTATTCCTTTCATTACATATTTTACAACTACATTGAACTATTGAAAATGTGCCTCCTTGGGGCTTCTAGGCTTCTACTGTCTGGCAAGAATGGTTTCTAATCCATATTCTACTGTAGTAGTAACTGTAAGAATGAAACAACAATTTCATTAGTTTGCAAGCCTTTTCCCTCCATTGACACTTATGAAGCAGACTTTATAATTGTTGGCCAGACTTCAATTTTGTAACTGGGAACAGCGAGAGACAGCTGAACCCTGTCAGGGAACCTCCCCATGCGTGACTTCATAGTTGTTAGACGTAGCAAGAGTTTGGAACCTTCCCTTTTCATTAATCTCTATGATCTGGTTTAGTTCAAAAGCAATGCAGTTCTTGCTAATCTTTCACTCTGATTTTAAAATTAGTGTTTGAATAACTGAATTATAAATTAATATCTAAAGTATTTAAATTTAGACCTTATTTATGCAGGTCTAGATGATAAGTAACTTCTTTAGGATGTGAATTTGAACATCATCTCTTAACAGAAAAATCTTATAAAAAATCTTGGAAAATAAGTTATTTTTTCTATGTGAAATTTTAGGGGATTGACTTGACTAATTCAAGAAAATTATAAAAATTATAAAAAATTATTAAAAAATTTATAAAAAGTATATTTTTCATTCTAAAAGTAGTTTTGTTCCTTTTTTATTAAAAATGGTAAAGCTCTGTATAAAACATAATATGATGAAAATATATAGCATATATTAAAGGAAAATATGTATCTTAGCAAAGAATTTCTACAAAATTATGCACATTCATCTTTTAAAAAATAACAAATAACATGTTTTAAATATTTTATTTTTTAATGTATTCTTTTTGCCTGTCTCAAGTTATAATTAATAAGCATGAAAAAGGAAAGTAGCAGACATTAAAAGCAAAGTTCATTCGAGAGTATGTTAATAACTATTGGCATCCACAGTAAATTAATGTTATATTTGTTTAATTTGTGACTAATTAAATAAATGTTTGAAACTCCTTCATATGATCTGATTTTGTAAATAATAAGCAGACCACAACAAAACTAGTATTCTGATACCAGTGGAGGTAAAGGTTCATCTCCTACCCTGGTAAAATGATTAATCTTCTTCAATGTTTCATTTTTCTTCTATGTTCTATGGCTATGGAGGTATTTTTACCACACTTTGAACATGCTAAAAGCACTTCAGTAAATTGAATAACATGATGCACTGTTAAGTAAGAAGATTAAGAGTGCAGCAGCAAAGAAGATAGGATAGCCTGTGTCCAGTGAGCTTCTTAACTGCAGTGGCTTTGGTCAGTGTTTACCAGAAGCTGTATTTGTGGTAAACCCTAAAGGGTACAGGGATTTCAAGCCTATCTCATACATTCCTTCACTACAGTTGCAGTGTATCCTATACTTATTAATGATGCATCTCCTTTCCCATTTTTTTTCTTCAAGGAAATATAGCTCCTCCATTAAAATATTCGATATATGCATCAGCTTTCCAAACTTTTGATAACATTTCTCTTTGTGAGATTTTATTTTAATCTTAAAAAGTGCAGTACTTAAATCATAAGAACATACAAAAGGAACTGTAGAGTTTTTTTTTTGTTTTGTTTTTGTTTTTGTTTTTTTTCTTTTTTTTCTGAATAATTAATCTAGTTGCTAATGAGAAGATTCCTTTCTTCAGGGCTGTTCTTTGGGATGGTTTGCTTTGTGTTGATCTTTTTTGACTGGTACTAGTTATAAAATACTTGAAAACCCTGTGAGAACAGATATAACTATCAGTGTAGTTAACAGGCATAGAGTGAACTCCAATGACTGCTTTTCATTCCTCAGCAGGCAGAGTCAGTTGCTTCATATGTTTGAATTTACATATCAGCAGATATAATTTGAAATTTTTATTTTTTTATTAAATCATGTGTAACATGGTTAAAAAGATCAAGACCTGAGTTTCACTTCTGTGCAGATATTCCAATTATGCACAACGTGGTGTGCAGATGTTTTTCATAGGTATCTTTCTTCAGTTTATCTTCATGATTCAAGGATCTTCACAGCTACAAGCTGTCAGCCTGTCAGCCTGTCAGCCTGACCTCGGTGCCTGGCAGAGTTATGGAGCAGATCATCCTGTGTGCAATCACACAGCAGCTACAGGATGGACAAGGGATCAGACCCAGCCAACATGGGTTTAGGAGGGGCAGATCCTGTTTGACCAACCTGATCTTCTTTTACGATCAGGTGACCCACCTGGTGGATGAGGGAAAGGCTGTGGATGTGGTTTATCTGGACTTCGGCAAAGCCTTTGACACTGTCTCCCATAATATACTCCTGGAAAAGCTGGCAGCCCATGGCTTGGACAGGGGCACTCTGTGCTGGGTCAGGAACTGGCTGGAGGGCCCAGAGAGTGCTGGTGAACGGGGCTGCATCCAGCTGGCAGCCGGTCACCAGTGGTGTTCCCCAGGGATCAGTGCTGGGCCTAGTCCTGTTTAACATCTTTATCGATGATTTAGATGAGGGGATTGAGTCCATCATCAGCAAATTTGCAGATGACACCAAGTTGGGAGGGAGTGTCGACCTGCCGGAAGGCAGGTGGGCTCTGCGGAGGGATCTGGATAGACTGGAGAGATGGGCTGACTCCAATGGGATGAAGTTCAACAAGGCCAAGTGCCGGGTCCTGCACTTTGGCCACAACAACCCCCTGCAGCGCTACAAGCTGGGCACAGAGTGGCTGGAGAGCAGCCAGGCAGAAAGGGACCTGGGGGTGCTGATTGACAGGAGGCTGAACATGAGCCAGCAGTGTGCCCAGGTGGCCAAGAAGGCCAATGGCATCCTGGCCTGCATCAAGAACAGTGTGGCCAGCAGGAGCAGGGAAGTGATCCTTCCCCTGTACTCTGCGTTGGTGAGGCCACACCTTGAGTATTGTGTTC